ATTTTTTTTTTACTGCTTCTCAGGAACAGAGGAACAGAAGAGGCTGGTTATTGGCGGTGAAGTCTGTTTGTGGGGGGAATATGTGGACGCCACCAATCTTGCTCCACGACTCTGGTAAAAGATTTAAAGCTTGAAACACTTTAGAGTAAAATATGTGGAGTGAGAACATAATTTAATAACTGTCCTAAAATAAAAACAACAGGCCGAGAGCTGGCGCTGCTGCAGAGAGACTGTGGAGCAGCGAGAAGCAGACTTCCAGCGTGGAGCGAGCTTCTCCTCGGCTGCAGGACTTTCGATGCAGACTGCTCAGGTACGTTTGACCCTTGAAGTATCAGAGCTGACATACTTTATGAACACGCTGTTCTAACATCTGCTTTTCATTCCGCTTCACTCCCGCTTCAGACGAGGGGTCCAAGCAGAGCCTCTGGATGTGGGACACTGCAGACACGAGTACCAAGGTGTCTGAAGATGGATGACATGCGAGCGCTTTGGGCGTTGGAGCGAAACAAGTTCAGGATTTTAGTTTCAGTTAAGAAACATCGAAGAAGCACAACTTGGCTTTGTGTTTTTTTCACCTTAAAGAAAAGAAGCACAGTCTTTCTCAGGGAGTTATATTTTCATTTATTTTTTACAATGATCACATTTTAAATATATTAAACTTTGTGTAACCATACTTAATTATTATTGAAAATGTAGTAAAATGTTAAACTGATGACTAATAGAGGCGTTTCAGTTCACCCAATTTCATTATTTCTCTAAAAGACAATAAAATTTTACGAGTGTGTTCATCAAGTAATGCTTTTTTATTTTTGCTAAGCGTCATTTTCTATTTTTGTTTTTGTTCCAAGTTTAAACCCAGCGTTTAGAGCTATTCTACATAGATATCAGTTTAAACAAAATTCCTCCCACGTGTAACAAAGAAAACATAAGACATGAACTTTGAAAATATGAAGTCTTTTTGTTTGAGTATCAGTGGACATGATGACATTTGATTTAGAAATACTGATTAAAAGACAAAAATAAAAAGTAAAGGAAACAAGAGAAGGATAACAAATTTAAAGGTTTAATTTGGAGATATTTTAAAGCTTTATCATAAAAAAAATTAAAAAATGAGCATCACCCAAAGGAACAACCCAACTTAACTTCCTTAGTGTCGTCAGTTATTAAGGTTTGTTTTTACGAAGGCCACCATGACTAAACCTGACTAAACCAGACTAAGTCTGTTCTATAAATATAACTTTAGTTCAGCGTCATCAGAAAACTGAAATAGAGGATTCTTTAGGCAGACTCACTTCTTTCAGGTTGTCTGACCGGGACAGCAATGCAAGCGGTCATTACTGGAATATAGCATACAATAAAATAATATTTAACCCAAATGAAGTGACAAGCCTCAGTAAGATGTCTGGCAACAAAACAAGGAGAAAAGAAGCAGGAGCACAACAGTCATGTTACTTTGACAGGACTAAATGTTTTCTGATAAATTACACATTCATTTTTTTTTAACCCTTTGAGCGAGTTGAAGGAACGCAGCGGGTTGACTGGACGCCCTGCAGGTTCTCTGCTGCAGTTTACAGCTCCATAAATATTCCAGCATCTCTGACTCATATGGCTTTACTCCATTATAATTTGCTCCTCCTCCACCTCTCCTGATCACACTTTCATTAGTGACACAATCTTCTTGTGATTCTAAACTCTCCTTTATGATGTTAGAACTGTATTCATAAGTTGTGAACAACAATTTTAAACCATTCTGGCCCTTAATTGAGCTATTTCACCTCAATTAAAAAAAGCATTTAAAGCAAATGGAAGGTGTAGTGACCAACATGAGAGGAATCATCAAACTTCTGTTCACTGAACAACAGTTTTTGCGTCGGCAGTGATGTGAATTTTGCACGGCCGATGACACGGACAATGATTTGCTCATTGTGTGGATTAGAGTAAATGACAGCAGATGGCAAAGCAGGGTAATCCCTGGTAGCTGTAGTGCTGACTCCTCAGTCTTTCGTCTTCATCTGACCTGACGGAGGGAGAGGTGTGTGCTGAAAAGCCTCTGACAGCTCTGGTGATGTTAGAAAATATTGTGAACTTATCAAAACTTTGTTGGGAGCAAGCATGCTGTGAGCATCAAAACCAAAACCTATTTAAAAGAGACAACTGAAGCAATTTCATTTTATTGTTGAGTTCACACTAAATTAAAAGAAATAAAATTAATGAATCATCTATTATGACACGTTTTGTTGTCACAGCCTCAGTGCACCTGCTATTGGTGGCACAAAGAGAACAACAACTTGACAAGTTAATGTTTGACAATTGTTGACATAAAAGGAGATTATATAAAGAAGCTGCTTAGACTGATGCAGAGATTTAAGAACCAGCACTCAAGGGCACCCTTTCAAGGGCGATAAAGTTATGTCTCACACAGAAATCCCAGCTCTGTTGCTAAAGTCAGAGGTTTTTATATCATACACTGTGTACGGAGGTGAGAGCACCTTCATCCTTGAATGCACGCAGAAAAAAAATCCCACAATAAAACGTGTATTTGTAGATTAAAGTAGCAAATGGATGATTAGTTTGAGTCGGGGTTTTGCTGGTGACGTGTGTTCAGCCACCTGCAGGGCTCTGTGTCATCATAGAAGTTTCCACTAAACGTTTAACTGCTTGGCTCATGGTGGCTCTCTGCAAAATGATTGACCTGTATGTGATCGCAGGGCTTCAGGTGTGCAGGTGTGACAGGTTTCCACTGCAGGTAAAACCCTTAATGCTGCACTCTGCTGCTGGCTGCAGCATCTCAGTCCATCCATAAGTGAGAGACAGGTGAGTTTCCAAATCAGCCAAAGAAATGCAACACAGAATAAAGTTCACGGCTGGAAAGAAATTTGAAAATTCAAATAAATGTCTAGCTGCTTCTTTTTTTTTTTCTTTCTTTTTTTAGACTTTGCCAGTGATTAGAAATAAACGTTTCAATTTCTCTGAATTGATCCTTGAATTGTTATTGTGCATGAAGAGTAAAGACATAGTGGAAGGCCAAAGAGGAAACACATGGATACAATTAGAAAGGACATGAAGTGAGGATAGAGGATGCAGAGGACAGAATAAGGTGGAGGAGAATGACTCACTGTGGTGAAATGAGGATGTGGAGTTCCTCAAGGCTCCATCCTCAGGCCTCTTCTGTTTAACAACTTCATGGTCCAACATGTACAACAAGATAAAATACCATAACTATGCAGATGACACACATATGTACATCACTCTCTCACCTGGGGACAGGTGAGAGTTAATACAGTCCAGTTCATGCACAAATTGAGTGCACTGAGCAATACATCCATTTGATGCGCCAGCACTTTCTTCAGCTCAACGAAGATAAAACTGAGGTAGTAGCTTTTAGAGCAAAAAATAAAAGACTAACAGTTAGTGCATACCTGCAGTCTGTAATGCTAAAAAGCTCTGACAAAGTCTGAAACTTTGATGTGATCATGGACTCTGACCTGAGTCTGAACTGCCACATTCAAAACAGTTACAAAGATGGTTTTCTACCACATGAAGAATGTAGCTAGAATTAAAACAATGAGCAGGACTTAGAAAAACTCATCCATGCTTTTATTTTTAGTCAACTTGACTATTGTAAAGGACTATTTACTAGTCTTTCTAAAAAAAAATGAAGGGGTCATTTAAAATCAGGTTTAACAAGGCTGTTGGCCGCTGCCTTTCATAAAAGAAAAAAATATACATGTCATTTTTATATTGCCTTATGTTTTATTCCAGCTCTTAATCAAAGCTTACTTTTAAGTTTGATTTTTTACAATATTTTCTTTCTTTGAGTGTCTGTAATTTATGTTTTATTTTTCTATATGCCTTTACTGTTCTTTTGCACAAAAGGTTTAACTGTTTGTGTAAAGCCCTTTGAGTGGCCTTGTTGCTGAAATGTGCCGTGCCATGCCTTCTCTAATCCCACTCCAGATTACTGTACTCGTTACAGTGATGCAGTACATGTTGTCAAAAGTTATCCCACTCTGTTACGTGAATGCAGATGTAGTTCCAGTATAAACATTTATATCATACCAGTTTTTTTATTTTGCATTAACACACTAAAACCTGTTTGCTTGTTTTTGACTGTACCCTGCCAAAAAGATGGATGGTTGGTTGGTTGGATGGATGTTGTTTCTTTGCTCAATAAAACATTAATTGCCCCTCCCCCAAACAAAAGCGTCCAGAAAAATTATAATATACATTTATACACCAGTCACTGTAACAGCAGTTACTATAGTAATAAAGATACATTATTTATTAGTGATATTTATTATTTATTATCTTCATCACCAAGTCATATTTTTTCAACAAGCAAAGGTCAAAGGAAATATTTAGAAGACAGTGGTGAGACCAGCTATATTGTGTGGTCCGGAGACAGTGACAAAAAGACAGGAGACAGAACTGGAAGTAGCAGAAATGAAGATGTTGAGGTTCTCCTTAGGAGTGACAAGGCTGGATAAGATTAGGAATGAGATCATCAGAGGTACAGCACAGGTTGAACAACTGGGATATAAAGTTAGAGAGACCAGACTGAGATGGTTTGGCCATGTCCAGAGGAGGGACAGTGGGTATACTGGTAGAAGGATGTTAGAAATGCAGCTGTCAGGAAAAAGATAAAAAGAAAGACAAAGAGGAGATGTATGGATGCAGTTAGAGAGGACATGGAGGTAGTTGGAGTGAGGACAGAGGACAGAGATGGAGGCGGTTGACTCGCTGTGGTGACCCCTAAAGAGGGAAAAGCCGAAAGAAGAAGAAGAAGAAGATTTGTGTAAAACACGAAGAGCTCTGTTTTATGGTGTTAAACTGGCTTTCTGAAATCAAAATCATTTATTGGACAGGACAGATTTTGTGATCTATATTTTCTATTCTAACAAACAAGTACAATAAAAAAAATGAAGATAGATCACACCTGATTATAGATATTTACGTTTATTTTATCTAATTAATTAATAACTATCTTATCTAATAACTTAGTAAAGAAACTGAAAGTTCAACTGGGTTTCTTTTTCAGAAACAGATCCTGTCTAACCCTGAATGCTAGAAAACGCCTTGTATCTGTGACTTTCCTTCCCTCCATCGACTACGGTGACATTATTTACATGAACGCTCCTACAAGAACCCTGCAGATGTTGGAAGCTGTCTATCATGGTGCACTAAGATTCACAACTGGCTGTGATTATCTTTTTTTTATTTTTTCATTTACCCTTTATTTATCCAGGTCGTCTCATTGAGCCACAAGAACTCATTTTCAAGAGAGACCTGTTTAGGGAGCACATGGTGGGGGTTAAGGGCCTTGCTCAGGGGCCCAGAGTGGGTCAAATGAGGGTGAAGGGAGGAGTGGGTGTTTCACCTTTTCCTCCCACATTTTGATGTTGACGGTACTGGGAGTTGAACCTGCAACTTTCTGATCACAGGCCCATCTTCTAACCTCTGCACCACCACTCCCCCATATCGCACCCATCATTGCACCCTGTATTTACTGGTTAACTGGTCACCATTAACTTCACTCAGACTCTCCCACTGGTACATTTTCATCTTTAAATCACTTCTTGGTCTGTTGCCTTCATACATCTCCTCCTACATGTCTCTGCGTAAGTGCAGCTACAGCGTGCGCTCTCAGGACATTATTACCTGCAGTGTTCCCTCATTGTGGACTGAACTAGGCAAAAGGGCCTTCTCCTACTCTGCTCCTGTTTCCTAGAATATCTAGCATAAAGATCTGAAGCTCTCGACCATGACCTCTCTAAGTGTTTTCAAACATCTGTTAAGATCCTGGGAAAAACCAGCGCAGACATGTTCCTGTTTTATCCAAAAAAGTTAAGTCAGGTCCTCTGGACGGGTTCAAAAAACAAAAAATTGTTGAAACGTTTCGTCTTTCATCCAAAAGACTTCTTCAGTCATGACTTATAATACCATTTTATTTTCACTTGTTCTTCTCAATGTGTGCACATCCTTTATGATTGTCTTTGTTGTCCACTGTTGTCATCACTCTTTGTTAAAATCAGGTCTCCCTTGTAAATGAGTCTCCGAGGCTCAATGGGACTAATCTGTATGAATAAAGGTTTAATGAATGAAAAAAAAAAAAGGTTAAATGGAAGTAATTAAAAAAATACAGATCTGAATAAAAACTATTGTGACAGACTATTGAAGTAACATTTTTAGATCATGCTGAGTGAATATAAATGTCACTGTCAGGACTAACACGGCACAGACACGGCACAGACACGGCACAGCGCATGTCTTTGCTGTCCAGGCTCACCATGACCTGCTCTATTGTTACAGGAAGTTTAGAAGCTGCGGGATACAACAATAAAAATATAAGAATGTTATTGTTAAAATAAAGATTTTACAGCACTTTAAAATGTATTTTTATGCAACCTCCATAACTTTGTTTTTCAATTTTCACTGTAATAAGATCGTTAAAGTACAATGGTCAGTAGAAGGTCTTGCTTTAATAGTTTTGTCTGTCCCTCGTATTATGACTGATTGATTTACTCCAATAAACACTAAAGATTAGGAGGATGACAGATCAGTATTTGCTTACACAGCGCCTGGTGCTAATCTTCTTGTCCTCCTCCTGAAAGCCTACAGACGACTCGAGCTCTCACACTCCCTCCAGCAGACAGGACAAGAGAAGACATCTTGAACCACACTTTGACCCCAGATTACATCAGACACTGGATCCTAACGCTTCCAAAGGATTAGTTTAAATTAAAGGTAAATAACGAGGAGGAAACCAACTCATTTCTGCCTTTTGTGTTTTTGGCTGCATTGATGGAGATAAATTTATGAAATTGAAAATATTATAAAGGAAATCATTTTTCTTTTAATATTTAATTTTAATTCAACACAACTTAATTGAAATATTTATTCATGGCGGCACATCAAACTATGGAAGAGCACAGGATCAAAACGGACATGTTTTCACTGAACAGCTCGGACCGCTTTGCACAACATATCATAGATGGAAGTCAACCAGGTGAGCCACTGATTTATACTGCAGATACATAACTTTAGTATGTTTTGTACAGAAAAATATGGCAAGGAAATTTTAATTTGTTTCATGCTAAGCAACTTTATTTAACAAAGTATATAAAAATGTTACTGTAACCTCTGCTTGAAGGTCTTTATGATGTTAAAAATGCTACATGAGTAATTTCTGCTATTTTTTTCCTCCACAGAGAACAGTGAGAGGAAAGGCCCAGGACTGCTGTGTAAAGTCTGCTCTGATTCAAGCAGTGGCAAACACTACGGCATACACGCCTGCAATGGCTGCAGTGGCTTCTTTAAACGCAGCGTGAGACGACAGCTCATCTACAGGTGAACGGGAAAATGTGTGAAAATATTTCTGCATACATTGTGTTATTTTGACCTTTCATACGTCAAAATGTTTAGCTCATTCAGGAGATAGGTGCTGTGACTTTTAGTTGTTGCAATTTTCAGACATTTCTAAATGTTTAACTTTGTTTGGAAATATTTCCCCATAAAACATAATAAAAATATTTTTAATCTGACAAAAACATTTTATTTTAGCATACTTGTTCTATTTTTGTCTTCTACTGCCACTTTTATCTTTAAAGTTTTGCTTTATTTTGCCATAAGTCTACTGGAGTCAGCCTCCCCACTATCACAGACATCTACACCTCTAGATGCAGGAAGAGGGCCACCTGCATCATGAAGGACCCCACTCACCCAGCACACACATTTTATGCCCCGCTCCCCTCAGGAAGGAGGTTAAGGAGCATTAAGTGCAGAACCACTAGACTGAAGAACAGCTTCTACCCTGAAGCTGTTAGACTCATGAATCTCTAAGCAGAATAATCACTGTGAAAAACCATATCATGTTGCTGCTGATCTGTTTCATGTTGCTGCTGATCTGTTTCATGTTGCTGTGTTCATGCGCGCTCATCTGCTCACTCAGACTCATGTTCGTGCTGCTGTTCGGCGTATTGCTTTTATACTACTAGTGCTTAGGGTATTTTTAGTTAACATTTTCTTAGTCATATCTTAGATCTTACTGTTTTTCTTTTATATTTTATACTTTTGTTGGAAGTAACTGTGACTCTGTGTACACGATTTTGTTCCACCACATGTACCACATGTGGTGTGTATGACAAATAAAGAACCTTGAATATTTTAATCCATATTTAGCTTTTAGTTTGCTTTATGCTACTCTTAGCTACTATTCTGCTGTTTTTAGCCTTTAACGAGCCTTTTACTGCTTTTAATTTTTACCTAGCTTTTTAAACTTTTAGCTGATGTCTTTTTGGTACCTTTTGCTTTTTGCTACCCTTTTAATATTTTACCTTTTAGCTAGCTTTTTGGTACTTTTGGCTTTAAGTTAGCCCTTGTTAAGTTTAGCTTTTAGCTTGAGGTTTAGTGTTCTTAGCTTTTGGTTAGCGTAACAGCTTTCTTTCAATTTTTTTTTAGCATATTTCAGCAGTCATCCAGCACTCAGAGGTCGCACTGTCTATTTTATTCCAGAAAATATAATCTGTCTTGTTAATAAATGTGTTTCTCTTAAGGTGCCAGGCTGGGACCGGCAGGTGTCCTGTTGACAAGACTCATCGGAACCAATGCCAAGCTTGCAGGCTGAGGAAGTGTCTCCAAGCTGGCATGAACAAAGATGGTGAGAAAACATGTCATAAGCAGGTCACATTTGAGTGTTATTTAAAGTTTTAGATAATTTATTCTCCACATTTCTTTTTGACAGCGGTACAGAATGAACGACATCCACGAAGCACAGCACACGTCAGTTTAGACTACGCAAAAGAGAAGTCTATAAAGGAGCACCTGTCCACCACACAGGAGCTCAGCCCTCCTGACATCTACTCATCTGTCATCTCCAAACCTTTGGTCCATTCATCTTGTAGCCCGAACAACCACCGCTTCATGGTCAGCCTGCTGACTGCAGAGACGTGTGCAAAACTGGATCCAGGTGACGGTAAGATCACGTGAGGTTTTGTAGGCTTCAGACTGAGACATACGGTACTCCCAGAGGTCTTGACAGTTTGTTTGTTTTTCATGAACAGCAGAGGAAAATGTTGATGTGACAACTAATGATCCTGAGAGAGATCGCACTCCGATTGACTCTCACAGCTTCCCATACAGCCGTTCAGAAAACATATATGAGATATCAGCCCGACTCCTCTTCACATCTGTCAAATGGGCAAAATATTTGCCCGTTTTTGCTCACTTGGCATTTCGAGACCAGGCAAGTATTGTGCTATGAATTTTGGCAACTTAATAATTTCTGTAATAATAATTTCACATGTTTTCTGAACCCAATCAGGTGATTCTGCTTGAAGAAGCTTGGAGTGAGATGTTCCTTCTGTGTGCTATCCAGTGGTCTTTGCCTATGGACAGTTGTCCTCTTCTGTCCATTTCAGAGCCTTACCAAACCCAGCAGACCACTGCTAACCTCTCCTCAGTGGACCTGCAGGTACTGGAAGAGGTCTTCAAACGCTTCAAGGTTCTGGCTGTTGACCCGACTGAGTTTGCCTGTTTGAAGGCCATTGTCTTGTTCAAGTCGGGTAAGAAAGCGTTAACACAATTGTCATTCTGTACAGGTTGAAAAACTCAGCTTGATGTTTGTCGTTTGCCTCTCTGCTGCAGAGACTCATAGTCTTAAAGACCCAGAGAAAGTGGAAAATCTGCAGGACCAGTCCCAGGTTCTGCTGGGCCAGCACGTTCATTCATCATATCCCAACCAGACTGCCAGGTGACACGGCGGCTGTTTTCTAAGCTTCTGAAACACGTGAACAGCTTTAACGTTTAAACTTCGTCACTAACTCTCTTTATTTGGGTTCAACAAGGTTTGGAAGACTCCTGCTCCTGCTGCCGTCCCTCCACTTTGTGAGTTCCAGGAAAATCGAGCAGCTCTTCTTTCACAGGACCGTTGGCAGTACACCCATGGAGAAGCTGCTGTGTGACATGTTCAAAAATTGAACAAGAAGAAACAGAAACAGCTCTCAAGCAACAAATGTTCTTGCTCTTTGTGCAGCATCTTTCACTTCCAGCTCACCTTTATATGTCACCTTTAAACATGAGCATGAACATGCATGTATGTATGATTGATAAGAAAAGACTGTAAGTCTATAACAGCTTTTGATATCATTTGTACACATGCAGGCAAACATTTTAAAATTGTGTGAATGACATTTTTATGGTTGTCCCGGTTAACTTTGTAAGACTTTTCTAAGGAAAGGCCTTTTCTGTTACATTGTGGAAACCCTGAAGTGTTAGTGAATGTTTTTTTCTTTTCTTGAATAAGTCTTTTTGTTCTCAAATATTACAAGTGTCTTCTTTCTTTGAGTAGCACAAACTAATTATGCATTGCAACTCTAAACACAAAAAGAGGCTACAAAAAATAGTGTGAAACATCTTCTTGTTTTTTTTTAATATAATAAATGATTTTGCTGAGAGAGTTAATGTGCACACTGAGCATCTACTTCCTGCTTTTATCACAGAAACATTGCATCTGAATGTGCAACTCACCGAGACACAATTCTGAATAAGAAATCAATGTATTACTCATGATTTGACCTGTAAATAAACTTAATTATCTACAAAACATGAAGGGAAAAAAAAAGATAATGTCAGCAACCATGATTCCTGATGTTATTTTACAGTTTCATTATCTTATTAGCTAAAATGGTGTAACTATTTATGAAATGTTATTGTTAATAAAAATTACAAAGTAGAAATAACATGTTCTGGAGAAATGAGAAGCCTGCAAAAGATGATTCATGTGCATGCCTCTGCATATTTTTTGTATTTTACCTGGACTTGCTAAAATTATTGATTCAGCTTCAGTTATTTGTTTTTGTTTTGTTTAAAAAATGGGGGGAAATCTGTAATTTGACAACAAATATGTATGAAATATATATTGGAAAAATTACAGAAGGAAAAAACAAAATTATTTTTGGAGTAAACTCAAAACCAGCAGCAGTTAATGTCTCTGTGGCATAAGTGTTAGCCTTGCTATTTAACTTATATATATATATATATATATATATATATAATTTTTGTTATGTTAGTAGTAAAAAAAACTTATTTGAAAAGTGCATTCACAAATGTCTACACCCACTGGTTTGTGTCAGTTGTGGTGCGCGACCATCAGGTCGCGCTAGTGAGCACATTTACAGATGAGCACTGCCGGAAGTTAGGTGGCGAAGAAGACCATCTTTATTATGCTAGTTTGATGCTACAGAAAGTTGTTAGCTTGTTTTTTTATTTTCTCGGTTTAATTTTTTTATTTCTATAGTGGTTTAACTCGTCGTCAGAGGAGACTGGAGAATGATGAAGATCCCGTTGTTTCTTTAAGTGATAAATAATTGTCATTTTGAGGGGCGATGTTCAGCAGGTCGTCGTACGAGCTGCTCCCTCAGAGGGACTCCAGCTCCCAGAGGACTCCTGGTTTGTTTGTGAACTCTCACAAAGGACTTTCATTTGACTACATCCCAAATGTTTCTGCAAACGATTTCACTGGTGGGTGACAAGGTGGCACGATTAGCATTTTAAGCAGTAAAAACTGTCAGCTGTTTTAGTTTTGTTGCGTTTAAGAGAAATTATAAATTAAAACACAGCTACGGTGGCCGTACACAGCACTGCCTCAGTTTCTTGATACAGTATATGCGTTTTTCTTAAAGATACCACCCAAGGATGGCTGTCTTGGATTTGCAACCTGGTCGTCATCTTCCTTGTTTACATCTGCACCTTCATTATGTTGCCAATAACAGGATGGTTTGTACTTAAGGTAGTTTACATTCTTTATATTTCCACTCATTTATTTTGGGCGGCTGTGGCTGAGTGGTTAGAACAGTCGTCCTCCATTGCAAGAGTTGAGGGTTCAGTTCCACCAGTAGCCACATGCTGAAGTGTCCCTGGGCAAGACACTGAACCCCTCATTGCCTCTGTGTGTCTCATCAGTGTATGAATGTGATAAAGCTCTGATAATTATTTGTCTAGATAAAGTAGAGTGCTGTAGGAATGGGTAAATGAGGCACAGATTGTGTTGTAAAGTGCTTTGAGTATCTTGATAAGATAGAAAGGTGCTATATAAGTACAGTCCATTTACCATTTACTTACTGAAAATGAGACTGAATCATTTTCTGTTCAGACGGTGCCGAACTACCAGAGGATCGTGGTGTTCCGACTGGGTCGAGTTTGCCCTCCCAAGGGTCCAGGTGTGGTTCTTGTGCTGCCCCTCATTGATCAGTGGCAGAAGGTGGACCTACGCACTCGTGCTTTCAACATCCCTCCTTCACAGGTAATCAGAAACGCTGTTAATTTTTATTAGCCAGAGGGATTCTTTATGTCTCTAAATAAATGTTTTATTTCAATCCCACACAGTTGTTTTACTAATCAGAATTATGAAAACTTTCCGTCTTACAGTAAAATGTACCCTGTTTTGGAGCTATCTGTTTTTGAGATTTCATTGGAGCTGCTCAAAGTGATGTAAGAAATGAGACAAACACTTGAAGGTGTCTGTTTAGAAATTAAAAGGATACACAACATTGTTACTCAAGAAAAGTAACTATATACTTGTCGAGAATCATGTGATTTAAGGGAAAAATTTCTACCATTTTTTAGGTTTAATCTTGAAAGAGATTTACCACCTAGATGGCTAATTGAACCTTAACAGAAACTAACACCATAGTGTGTGATTAACTATCATATTTGGTGCTTACTATGCTTTTGAAGATATAAAATACCATTGTTATACCACTTTATTTATGAAGCACTTACAACAGCAACAAGGCCATCCAAAGTGCTGTACAGCAAAAAGAAAAAAATACCATTGTTATATTATACATACTAATTACATACTGTTAAATGTTAGCTGTTTTGTTTACCTAGTTGCATTTAAATAAGATATTTTGCCATTTTATTATCTTGTGCAATAGTAAAGAGTGCTTTATTATTAGCAAAGTGCATTTAATGTTGTATATAACTTCACTTTGCCCTGGAGTTGGCAGTCTCATTGTAACTTTATTCATTTAAATCCAGGAGGAGAAATTGGAAGCAATAAAGGACTTAGGTCATCACATACTGAAGGTTTATACAAACCGGATTCCAAAAAAGTTGGGACACTAAACAAATTGTGAATAAAAACTGAATGCAATGATGTGGAGATGGCAAATGTCAATATTTTATTCGTAATATAACATAGAGGACAGATCAAAAGTTTAATCTGAGTAAATGTAACATTTTAAAGGGAAAATATGTTGATTCAAAATTTCACAGTGTCAACAAATCCCAAAAAAGTTGGGACAAGTAGCAATAAGTGGCTGGAAAAAGGAAATTGAGCATATAACGAACAGCTGGAAGACCAATTAACACTAATTAGGTCAATTGACAACATGATTGGGTATAAAAAGAGCTTCTCAGAGTGTCAGTGTCTCTCAGAAGCCAAGATGGTAAGAGGATCACCAATTCCACAATTGTTGAGCAGAAAGATAGTGCAGCAATACCAGAATGGTGTTACCCAGCGTAAAATAGCAAAGACTTTTAAGTTATCATCATCAACCGTGCATAACATCATCAAAAGATTCAGAGAATCTGGAACAATCGTTGTGCGTAAGGGTCAAGGCCGTAAAACTCTACTGGATGCTCGTGATCTCCGGGCCCTTAAACGTCACTGCACCTCAAACAGGAATGCCACTGTCAAGGAAATAACAGAATGGGCTCAGGAATACTTCCAGAAAACATTGTCAGTGAACACAATCCACTGTGCCATCCGCCGTTGCCAGCTGAAACTCTACAGTGCAAAGAGGAAGCCATTTCTAAGCAAGCTCCACAAGCTCAGACGTTTGCACTGGGCCAGGGGTCATTTAAAATGGAGTGTGGCAAAATGGAAGACTGTTCTGTGGTCAGATGAGTCCCGATTTGAAGTTCTTTATGGAACACTGGGACGCCATGTCATCCGGACCAGAGAGGACAAGGATAGCCCAAGTTGTTATCAACACTCCGTTCAGAAGCCTGCATCACTGATGGTATGGGGTTGCATGAGCGCTTGTGGCATGGGCAGCTTGCATGTCTGGAAAGGCACCATTAATGCAGAGAACTATGTTCAGGTTCTAGAACAACATATGCTCCCATCTAGACGTCATCTCTTTCAGGGAAGACCCTGCATTTTTCAACACGATAATGCCAGACCACATTCTGCAGCAATCACAACATCATGGCTACGTAGGAGAAGGATCCAGGTACTGAAATGGCCAGCCTGCAGTCCAGATCTTTCACCTATAGAGAACATTTGGCACATCATAAAGAGGAAGGTGCGACAAAGAAGGCCCAAGATGATTGAACAGTTAGAGGCCTGTATTAGACATGAATGGGAGAGCATTCCTATTTCTTAACTTGAGAAACTGGTCTCCTCTGTCCCCAGACGTCTGTTGAGTGTTGTAAGAAGAAGGGGGGATGCCACACAGTGTTAAAAATGGACTTGTCCCAACTTTTTTGGGATTTGTTGACGCCATGAAATTTGGAAACAACAGATTTTTCCCTTAAAATGATACATTTTCTCAGTTTAAACTTTTGATCTGTGATTTGTGTTCTATTCTGAATAAAATATTAGATGTTGGCACCTCCACATCATTGCATTCAGTTTTTATTCACAATTTGTTTAGTGTCCCAACTTTTTTGGAATCCGGTTTGTAGAGTATTAGCATTCTGGGCTGTGACTTTAAAAAATGTCAGTATACATCAGGACATAATATAAAGCATCTAATCTTTACTAGTTTTCATCATGAGATAAATGCAAACTTAAATAGCAGGCGACATATTAAACAGCATCATTATTTAATTAATAAAAGGTAAGCCAAGCTGCAACAGTGTATGGAACACTGTTTCAGTCGAACGTAGTGGGGTTAAAATCAGCAGAGTACTCACTTGAATGAATCTCTTATCAAGTATAGTAGTTCACAGGTCTGCAGTGTTTAGGTGTATGTTAACACAATGACAACCATCTTCCTTTTTGGGTCGCGGGGGTCACTGGTGCCCATTTCCAGCCATCCCTGTGCAAGAGGCGGGGTAAAACCTGGACAGGTCTCCAGTCCATCACAGGGACACATACATCAATTCACACTCTCACTCACACCTGGGAACAATTTAGAGTTACCGATTAGTAACTCGCATTGGTATCCAGAGAAAACTCACGCATGCACAGAGAGAACATGCAACCCCCCCCCCCCCCAGAAAGGCCCCCAGCTGGGATTTGTTCTAGCAATCTTTCTCTCTGAGAGGCAACAGCTCTACCAACTGATCCCCTGTGCTGCTCAACACAATGACATGGAAAACATAAATTATTAATGAGCAATTCAATGTCTTGAATAAAAACATTTAAGAGACTTGTAAATCTTCTTTAAAGGGGACAAGTAAATTCAGATTGTGTAAAATGTATAGAAACTGAAAAAGAAAGCTTTCTCAGAACTATACCTTAGTCTGTTGGTCTCAGTTAGATGTTTAGGTTATTCACATCACAAATATAAGACTCAACCATCACGTCAATGATAAAGGGTTAACTTTCCACTGCAGGTGACTACTCGGGATGGTGGGGTGTTGTTGGTGGGAGCTGACATCCAGTTCAGGATCTGGAACCCAGTCATGTCAGTGGTGTTAGTCCAGGACCTGAATGCTTCCACCAGGATGACGGCACAAAACGCTTTGACCCACAGCCTATCCAAGAAGACCATCAGGGAGATCCAAACTGAGCGAGTGAAACTGGGAGAATATCTTGGGGTGAGGCCACACTGGAGCTGCTTCTTGCTTTTTTAAATTGATGCTTACAGTTACAAATGTTTTTGTTGTAACACTGAGTATCTTAGAATAAAGACACACGTCACAGCTGCATCTAAAAAAAATTATAATATTGTGAAAAAGTTGATATTATTTTGTCAATCATTTCATAAAGTGAAACTCGTATATTAAATAGATTCATTACACATAGAGTGAAATATTTCAAACCTTTCGTTCTTGTAATTTTGATGATTGTGCCTTACAAATAATGAAAACCTAAAATTCAGTGTCTCAGAAAATTATATACAGTAAATATTCCACAGCCAGCTTTTGGTACCTTTGTCAGTGTGGGCAAGAGCCGAGTCCTGCTGGAAAATGAAATCAGCATCTCCATGAAGCTCGTCAGCAGAAAGAAGCATGAAGTCTCTAAAATGTCCTGGTAGATGCTGCGTGGACTGTGGACTTCAGAAAACACAGAGGACCAACACCAGCAGAGGACATGGACACAAACCATCACTGACTGTGGAAACTTCACTCTGGTCTTCAACAACATGGATTCTGTTCCTCTCCACTCTTCCTCCAGACTCTGAGACCCTGCTTTCCAAATGACATGAACATTTACTTCCTCGGGGCTATGTGCCGGTTCGTGGCCTGGGTCCCCGGTGGTGCGGCTGCCTCCTGCTCCTGGATGGATGCACTGGTGGATCTCGGAGAATGGGGGTGCCTATTGGGGTCAGTGGGGGAGCTGGCCTCCTGGGAGGGCATTGCCACCTCAGTTGTTCCTCCCCATCCCGACGTCTTCCTCCGCCCACTCCATCACACCACCACTCAAGCAGGACCTTGGGGTTCAGGTGCACTACTGAGCTGCGGGGAGGATCCTCCATCTCTGTGGTTCATGGAGACCTGGGCCCCAATTTTATTAAACAACCTAGACACTCACATATAACATTCTCATGACACATGTATATATAGGGTCTGGAGTGGGCACACGGTGGCATATAGGGGGTGGGATGTGTAATCATTCTCACCCCCGGGACCTGTGCCCACTCTCATGTGTAGCATGTAGACATTTAGGGTTCTGGGCAAGGGTTGGGGAGGTGAACGGGCACTGCCTGCTCTCTGGGGAGGGGGTGGGTCTGTGCCAGTCGCTGCCTCATCCCCCCATTTTAAACACACTATATAACAACATGCATCAACACCTTATTTGAGTGGGAGGAGGGAGGA